TACACCAACTATTCCATCCCATTCTGATGCCGGTATGACTCTGAAACCAAAACCCAATGGAGAGATTATAAGAAAAGAAAATTACAGCTCAATATCCTTCATGAACATATAAGCAAAAATTCTTAATTATTTTGCAAAATCAAAATCAACTCCCAACATTATATAAAAGGGATAATACATCATGACCAAGTGGGGTGTATTGGAGAAATGCAGGGTAGGTTTAAGGTTCAAAAACCAATGTAAATCACATGATTAATAAGTGTACTCAAGAGATAAATATGAGATAATAATGTCAATAGATTTTTTTAAGAAGTATTTGACAGAATCCCATCAATGCCTGATAAAAACTCTCAGAAAACTTGGATGTAAAGGGAAGTTCCTTAATATAATAAAAGATATCTGCGAAACATCTGCATCTAACATGATACTCAATAATGGAAGACTAAGTACCTTCCCCCAAGATTGGGAACCAGGCACGGACGTCCAGTCTCACCATTTACAGCCTATGCTTTCCTGGAGGTTCTAGCCAGTGCAATTGGGCCAGAAAAAGAAAAGAAAGGAACTAAGACTGGACAGGAAAAAGTAAAAATATCTTTATTAGCAGACAATCTGATTGTCAATGTAGAAAATCCAAGGAAATATACCAAAAAAAGCTCCAAGAACTACTAAGTACGCGTACCAAGTTTGCAGAATATAAGATCAATATACGGAATCAACTGTATTTCTTTTTTTTTTTTTTTTTGAGACGGAGTCTCACGCTGTTGCCCAGGCTGGAGTGCAGTGGCGCGATCTCGGCTCACTGCAAGCTCCGCCTCCCGGGTTCCCGCCATTCTCCTGCCTCAGCCTCCTGAGTAGCTGGGACTACAGGCGCCCACCACCGCGCCCGGCTAATTTTTTGTATTTTTAGTAGAGACGGGGTTTCACTGTGGTCTCGATCTCCTGACCTTGTGATCCGCCCACCTCGGCCTCCCAAAGTGCTGGGATTACAGGCTTGAGCCACCGCGCCCGGCCGAATCAACTGTATTTCTACACAGAGCAGCAAACAACTGGAAATTGAAACTTTTAAAAACGATACTGTTTAAATAGCATAAAAAATATGAAGTACTTAGGGAACAATCTGACAAAAGATATGCAAGAACTCTACATTGAAAACTAAAAACACTGCAAAAAGAATAAGGAAAATCTAAGTAAATGGCGATATATACCATGTTCACTCATCAAAATAGTACTGTTAAGATACCAATTCTTCTCAGATGGTCTACGGATTCAAAGGAATTCCAATTAAAATCTCAGCTGGCTTTTTTTTTTTTTTTTTTTTTTTTGAGATGGAGCCTCGCTCTGTCACCCAGGCTGGAGTGCAGTGGCACAATCTTGGCTCACTGCAACCTCTGCCTCCTGGGTTCAAGCAATTCTCCTTCCTCAGCCTCCCGAGTAGCTGGGACTACAGGCGCCCGCCACCATGCCTGGCTCATTTTTTGTCTTTTTAGTAGAGACGGGGTTTCACCAGGTTAGCCAGGATGGTCTCCATCTCCTGACCTCGTGATCTGCCCACCTCGGCCTCCCAAAGTGCTGGGATGACAGGCGTGAGTCACCGCGCCCAGCTGGCTTTTTTTTTTTTTCCCTTGGAAATTTAAAATTTGATTTTATACTCTTTGGGAGGCCAAGACGGACGGATCACGAGGTCAGGAGATCGAGACCATCCTGGCTAACACGGTGAAACCCTGTCTCTACTAAAAATACAAAAACTTGCCGGGCGCGTTGGCTCAAGCCTGTAATCCCAGCACTTTGGGAGGCCGAGACGGGCGGATCACGAGGTCAGGAGATTGAGACCATCCTGGCTAACACGGTGAAACCCCGTCTCTACTAAAAAATACAAAAAAACTAGCCGGGCGAGGTGGCGGCGCCTGTAGTCCCAGCTACTCGGGAGGCTGAGGCAGGAGAATGGCGTGAACCCAGGAGGCGGAGCTTGCAGTGAGCCGAGATCGCGCCACTGCACTCCAGCCTGGGTGACAAAGCGAGACTCCGTCTCAAAAAAAAAAAAAAAATTTGATTTTATAATTCAAATAAAAATGCAAGAGAGCCAAAACAACTCTGAAAAACAAGTCATTAGAGGACTTAAACTACCTGACTCCGAGATTTATGGAAAGCTACAATAATCAAGAAATACAGACAAACAGATCAGTGGAACTGAAGAGTGTCCAGAAACAGACGCACATATATATGGGTTAGATTTTTGACGATATAGAGGCAATTCAGTGGGAGCAGCATGGTCTTCTCGACACATGGAGCGGGAAAAAGTGGACATCCCGCGCCACAAATGAAGCCCAGTCCATGCCCCACACTGTATACAAACGGTGCCTCAAATGATCATAAAACTAAATGTGAAACCTAAAACTATAACGCTTCTGGAAGAAAACAAAGGAGAAACTCTTTGTGACCTCGGATTAGGCAAGTATTTCTGACATCTGACACCAAAAGCATGATCCACTAGAGAACAAATAAGTTGGATTTTGTCAAACTTTAAAATCTCTGCTCTTCAAAAGACACTATTAAGAAAATGAAAAGATAAGCCATAGACTGGGATGAAATATAACTGATAAAGGACTTGTATCCAGAATATGTAATTTTTCCATCTCAAACTCAATAATGAGAAATCACCAGCGATGGGCAGCAGGGCTGGGCTAGTGGACAGTATTCAAGGAAGTGTTCATTCTGAGCTTTTTAAAAAAATGTTTCTGGGTACATAGTAGGGGTATATATTTATGGGGTACAATATTTATGGGGTACATGAGATGTTTTGATACAGGCATGCAATGTGAACTAAGCATGTCAAGGGGAATGGGGTATCCATCCCCTCAAGCATTTATCCTTTGAGTTACAATCAATCCATTATATTCTTTAAGTCATTTTAAAATGCACAATTATCGGTAAGCTTCTCAAATAGCTCCTGGCGTCCACACCCTGTGTGACCCCCTCCCTCTGAGTGTCAGCTGGACTAGAGACTAGTTCCTAACCACAGAATACAGCAGGAGTGACGGAACCTCACTTTCACATCAAGTCATAAGAGATGGAGCTCTGTCTTGCTCACACCATGGGGCTCCTCTCACCCGCCTGCTCTGATGAAGCCAGTCGCAGGGGAGAGGACAACAGGAACCCAGGCCCTCGGCCCAGAAGTTCTCAAGGAGTTCAGTCTTGCCAACAGCCACTCAAGAAATGCCTATTTGCGGCCTCCGATTCATTTGCGAATAAGGTCACCAACAAGACTTTCCATTCTGGCTCCACTGACCTTAAAGCGATGGCTCTGGGAGTTCCACACCACCAGGTCGGGGAGGCCCCCTCGGCAGTGCCGGAAGTCAGCAGCCAGGCGCCTGCACACACCACTGAGCACAGGGCCCCCCAGGCAGGAGACAAGATCCTGAACACAAAACAGGGACAGTTAGCCACTTCCCTCGTGACAGAGAATGGAAATAGGCTACAGGGATCACGAGACGGAGAAAAGCTCAGTGTGTATGTAATTCAGTGCACATGGATCCCAGGCCCACCAAGCACTGTTCTGCTGCTTGTACTGGAGCCGCAGAGCCATGGCTGGAATCCCACTGGCAAGTGGTGGGTGACTGGTCCTCCTGTGGTCAGTTTCCAGGCTTCTGCCAGTGTGGCCATGCTGGGGAGCGCTGAGGAAAAGGGATGTGGAGGATGCACTCAAGAACATGACGGCACGGCCTCACAGAGCGCAGCAGTTGAAGGAACACGGGAGGTAGCCTCCCTGCCTCAGCCACAGGGCAGGCCAAAGAAAGCTGTCAACTCAGGGGTGGCAAAGGCATAGCTGGGGCTTTTCTAACACCCTCGTATGTTTCCATCACTAACAGTGGCATCGGGGCCGGGGAGATAGGGTATTCTCATATATATATATATGTATATATGCACACACATGCACATATTTACATATACACACGTGTGTGTGTTTTGATAAAGTTGCTGAAAAGACAGCACTGGGGCGGCGTTACTTTCTGAGCAAATCCTGCCATGCAGGTGAACCATTACCTGAGCTTGCTGAAGAGACGTGAAGCGATCCCAGCTGACAAGGGAAGCCACTCTGCCCTCCTGCTCCTGCCACGTGGCTGCCACCCAGGCCCGCAGGCTCTCCGCGGGGGCATCATGAATCAGCTGCAGCCTGGCCTCGAGGGCCGGGCGTCTGCTTGCGAAGAAGCTGTCTGTGCACAAGTCCAAGGGGAACGCCTGTGTCACAGGGAAAGCAAGCTGTCACACTGTGCCTACAGACAGCTGTGTTCACCAGAGGACTAGTCAGTGCCTACGAAACTTGGAAACCGGCCAACCAACTGATACATTCTCTCTCTCAAAAGACAAGTCAAAGTTAATTGATATAAAACAATTTACTAAACTTGTTTTTTAGAGTAATAATTTGCAAAAACAGCTTTTCGCTGAGCTGGCTGGACCTCTGAGCAGGCAGATGTGTCCATGTCTGTGAGATCCTTGCAACAGTGCCTGCAACACGGCAGGTGCTTGGGAGGGCTGACGCTGACGCTACTTTATACCAAAGGTCTAAATATAAGGTGGAAGCTAAAGTTTAAAACTTCATATACGTACATCTTAAATTCTATTAATCAGATTTTAAAAATAAGTTATCACCTTGACCTGTGGATGGCCCAAAGGACCGTAACAGAGATGGTTTCTGCTGGCTGTGGACACACGGTGCCCAGGTGGGCGTGAGCCACGGATGTGTGTGGAAGGACCTCCTCGTGGGGCAGGGGCACTGAGTACCTGACAGGCATTTCTGAAGACATCCGGAATCCCATCCATGAAGATGATGTCCCACAGGAGGAGGCCACACAGAGTGCTGAAGGTGGACCCTTCGCCATGAATCCCTAAGGTCACACACACGAAAAAAAAGTTTTATCTGTCTCTTCCAAAACACCACCATAACCTACTGCACACTCCATTTCAAGAAAATAATAGAAATATTTCAGATTCAGAAGCAAATCCTGTTTTTATGCCATTCCCAGCTCATTTTATACAGTATATATACAGAGCCTTAAAGGCAAAAATCTTAATAATCATAGAGAAATTCAAATGAACATTTCAAAGTCACAAAGCAGTGGTTCTCAAACTTTAGTGAATAATCTAAGAAACATGTTTAAAAGAAAAATAAGCAGATACCCTCCTCAGGCTCCGAAGGCTGGGACTTAGCAGGGCTGGGCTGACACTGAATCCCCATGCAGGCCCTGGCGCAGGAGGTCCCTGGCCACCCCTGAAGAAATGCTTCCCTGAGGGGACCTCCCAGGAGGCCGGCAGCAGCCACCTCCATTCTTGGCCTCAGCGGGTGCTGCTCTGATGCACCTCGTCCCCCGGGCACTACACTGCCCTAGCCCAGTGCTTCCAATAGTCAAGGCTTTTATAGAGACCTCTGGCCTTAAAGACCACCCACTTCAGTCCCCCTCATCGTGTCACACAAATGTTTTACTGACTGGGAGATGACTTGAGAGACAGAAGTCAGGTGCTGAGGGCACAGAGTCAGAGACAAGATCTGGTGTGGGATGAAGGGCTCAGCCTTGGCACAGCACACGGACCCGTGTCCCTGAGCAAGCCCCAGCTCATCCAGCTGCCCTCCAAGCCCATGCTTCTCTGCACATCAGCACACCCGACAAGGGGGGAGGCCGCACGGATGCCTCTCCCCACAGGACCACTGGCCAGAGGAGGTGCTGACCACCGGAGCCCCATCCTGACACGCCAGTACTGGCGGCGAAGCTCCTGTGGCTGGTCCCACCTTGACATGTACAGGCCCCAGCCCATCTGCACCAGACCACAGTGAGCGGGGTCGGGGCGCCGTGAGAGCAGAGAGCAGGCAGCCACGGCCTGTCACGCCTGCCGGGGTCACCTCTGTCCTGCGCTTCTGAGGCCGTGCTGCTCTGTCCTGGCTTCCTCAGTTCTGGCTCCTAATCCCTGCAGCCCGTCTCGGGGATGCAAAAGGACAGTGGTTCACTCAGGGCTCCTGGCTGTTGCCAAGTCTCCCAGGAGGACTTTTCTTCCTAGAACACTTCATGCTCTTTCCCAGCCAGGAGTGGAGCTGGGACCTGATTTCCAGTCAGCCTTCCGTCCTGCTGAATACACTGATGATCAGGCAGGAATAGAGAGGCTAGATCATTTCTGACCTCCTTTTTGTTTGTTTTGTTTTGTTTTGAGACAGGGTCCCACTCTTGTCACCCAGGCTGGAGTGGAGTGGCAGTCTGGGCTCACTGCAGCCTTGACCTCCAGAGGTCAAGAGATCCTCCCACCTCCATCTTCAGAGTTCAAGTGATCCTCCTGCCTCAGCCTCTCAAAGTGCTGGGATTACAAGTGTAAGCTACCATGCCTGGTTCGTTCCTTAACTCCTAAGAGGTCCCTGCTGTGCGTTTGTGTTATAAGTGAAATCATTTTTGATGCAGTCCTTCTGAGTAATTCAGAAATCACCTCCCGGAAGAGGCTGAGATCGCTCTGACACAAAATTCCCTGTGGCATAAAGCCTGGCAGCCAGAGTTCAGCTCAGTTTCACTGCATTGATTTTAATCAGGGAAAAATAGTTTCTACTCTGGGAAAGGAATCGTGTGTTTTTCAGGCTCATGGCTCAACTGCAAGCATTTCAGCGCTCCCACGTCCCAGCCTGCTTCCTCCTCCAGCAAGTGTCCAGTTTCCACGTCTCTTGGGGCCTTGAACGGGCATTCTCTTCTTCTATTTCTAACCGTTTCAGGCCTACTGTATCTCTCTGTCTTTACTGGCATTTGCAAGTCTTCCCCAATAGCATCACCCTTCCCTGTAAGTAATAAAGATATTATGTAGATAAATCTCAACACTCATCAGAAAGAACCTGGGCTTTGTAAACTCCTATCTTGTAGTTGTCTTTCTATAGTACTTGTTAATCTTCTGAACACTCAGGGAATACTGAAATCATGTCCTGATTTTCACACATTTGAAAATACCAGTGTTTTTAACACTGCTAACCCTACAGCCCGGGCACAGGGAGAGTCCTGCCAGACGCAAAGGGCGGAAGGCTCAGTGGCTGTTCCCAAAAGCTACTAGCATGGGCCGCAGGGCCCCTGAGAGGGTATCTGGGGCCAGCTTCTAAAATCCCAGGGGAAGGGGCAGGAGACAACAGAAGGAAGACTGAATGGAACTGGGTGGGCCATGGGGTTGAGCACACTGCCCGCCCCCCGGCCCCGACTTCTGTACAAAAGCTTGTGCAGTATCTTCCATAACAAGAAGTTTTTATAAAAGAAAAAAAGATCAGAGCCAGGCCCTGTGGGACAACTACCCCGACCTACTCCCTATCATTGATAAGGCGAAGAATGGGAAGAAGACATCCCCAGCCCACAGCATCTTCCACTGTGAACAGAGGACGGAGAGAGGACCGCAGCCCACCGCTGACAGCCCATCCAGTGCTGCTGCTCATCCACCCAGGGCCGGATGCCACGAGAGGAAGCCTGCTCAGTTACCCTGGTCAAAGCCGCTGCGTCTGTAATGAGCCAGTGCCAGTTCCTCCACGGAGCACAGGACCGTGGTGGGGTCAGCGGCCTCCCCGGCCTCCATCACAAACACAGACTTGCCCATTCCACGCTGCGGGCACAGCCTGCCTGTGATGGTCACCTGAAACAGCAGCAGAAGAACATCTGTTAGCCTCAGGTCAGCAAAAGTCCCTGAAAACCTGCCTCTAGCATCCCAAGGACTGACCTCCCTAACCACAAAGCCAGTCACTAGCAGAGCACACAGCGTGGGGCTCACACACGCACACCTGCGGGGATGCGAGAGCTCGCTGGCCAGCCCTGGGAGAGCCTCAACCACCAGAACTGCTCTACAGGCCCCCAACGAGTAAATGAAACTAGCAGATGCTGAGAGGCCCCATTCAGGAGATCTGTCACTCAACCCAGGGTGTGACACCCAGCAGCCAAGTCTCCTCAGGGAGGAGGGCGACGGGGAGACTGGGAGCAATGGCCACACAGCCGTCTGGAACGAGTTTTAGATGATTCCGAGTCTAACAGAAAACACACACTCAAAACAACTCTTAGGTTGCTTCTGCTCCAGAAAAACCAGGCACACACGCCCAAGTCCAAAGCACCCAAAGGCTCTTTCCTCACGTGTTTCACATCTTGCACAGCCATTTCTGGGAGCTGCTGGAAGAGGCGCCTGAACTTTTTACAGCTCGGAGACTCCCGCAGGCGCACGGCTCGCTGATAGAGTGAAAGGCGGTGTCCCGTTCTGACTTCCGGATCCGCCAGCCCCTCTGTGATGCACTTGATAGTCTGGCAGAGAGCATGGCCACACATCAGGCTCCTAGAAAACCCCACGGCAGCTTCCATGCATTTAGTTTGACAGAAAAGCCCACTGTTTATTATTGAATTTTGCTGATTAGCAAATAAGCAAACAGCACCTCTAGAGATTTAGGCTGTTTCCTTAGATCTTATTTCGATGCTTTCAATGCATCCGGCAACCAGAGCCTTCGCAGTCAACGTGCTGGAGCGTGACTGGGCTGTAATCCAGGTGGACTGCGGATCCCAGCAGCCGCCCCTCACAAAGGGTGTGAACTTCAGGGATGCCTGACTTTACAGGAAAACTTGGCTCAGTGGTTCTCAGGACATCACCTAGGCAGCTTTGCAGGAAAACATGTGTCCCACCCCGGATCCACACAATGAGAACCTCCAGAGCAGGAGCCCAGCCGTGGGGGGGCGGGGGGGGGGCACATCAAAGCTCCAGGTGAATCTCATATGCAGTCAGGCACCATGGAGCTGCTTCAGATTCCTTATTTACAGGGACAGGAGCCAAAGGTCTGGAGGAGTTACAAGTATTTCCCAAGGCGATTCAGAGTTGGACAAATCAACAACCAAATACAGAAAGCCACAAGGAGATACCACTTCACACTTACTAGGATGGCTATCATCAGAAACATGGAAAGTAAGTGCTGGCAAAGAGGTAGAGAAACCGGAACCCTCACACATTGCTGGTGGGAATGTGAAACTGGTGTAAACACTGTGAAAAACAGTTCCGCCACTCCTCAAAAAACTCAACACAGAATCACCCCAGGACCCAGCAATTCCACGCTAAGGTATTCCCAAAGGAACTGAAAGCAGGGTCTGAAAGAGGTTCATGCAGCACTCTTAAAAATGGCTGAAAAGGTGGAAGGAACCCAGCGTCTAAATCGACGATCAGTGGGAAAGGAACTGTCTAAAAAAAAAAAAAAAAAAAAAAAAAAAAAAAAAAAAAAGTCATCGACGATGAGTGGCTCGGAAAATGTGGTATCAGATGCTACAGTGGAAGTGTGTTCGGCCTGGAAAAGGAACGGAGGCCTGACACGTGCCACGATGCGGGTGAAGCTCAGAAACATGATGCTGAGCAAAATACCCCAGATGCAAAACCACAAATATCGTAGGATTCCACGTCAATGAAATGAATGAAATGAACGGCACAGTCACAGACACAAAAAGTAGATGAGAGGTCACCAGGGCTGGGGGAAGGGAAAGCGGAGCGTAGTTGCCTAATGGCTGCCGTGTATCTGTTTGGAGTGATCAGTGGAGAGGCAGTGGTCACACGTTGTGAGTACCATGAATGCCACTGAACTGTACACCTAAAAATGGCTAAAATTTGCCAAATTTTAGGGATGTTAAATTTATTTTACCACGACAGAAACATAAAAAGTGAAAGAAAAAATAAAATCCAAGAAATTGAAAATCAGTGAAGGCTCAAGCCATCCGGAGTTGGGTGGCTGAAAGGAATGAAGATGGGAGAATGAGACTCTGAAGGGCACCCTGTTCGCTGGCAGAAGACGGTGCCGGGCAGCAGCAGCCTGGCCTCGGAAAGGGAGGGCCCAGCTGGCTCCACCTCTGCCCTGGCCAGGCCTGGGCTGGCTGCAGGGCACTTTGCAGGAACAAGCACTCAGCGAGGAGATCAACTTCCTTGGAGACTGAGGTAAAGATGAAAGAACACTAATGAAATAATAAGAGCTGTGAGTGTGACCAGTAAGACCTCTGGGAACAGGTTAGGAGGAACTAGGCTTAGCTTAAATCTCAAAAATAAGCTCAGTGGCTTGTCTACCCCCTAGCAGAACTGTGAACGGAGGGGAAATCTGTACTCTCTTGAACTTTTATTTCATTGAAAGAAAGGTGACAAACACAAGCTTTCTCCTTCTGTATTTGGTTCTGGGCTACCAGATGCTTTCTCTTGCTATTTCAGCCTCAGTAAACACCGAGTGGTAAAGGAAGCCCCACGCCCTCCTCCATGAGAGGAAATAGCTTTACTGGCTCTTTCCCTGATACTTTAGGTAACAAGGCACTTTTTCAGTTTACGGCAATAAAAACAAGATGTCATATTTCCTATCCCGTGGTCATTTTTTTCCACCCCTACATCACCCCGATTCACTTAATGGGCCACTGAAAAAATCAAAAGCTCCCAGAGGCACAGTCCCCTCCATTCAACTCAAATGCAAGGCTGGAAGAGAGACAGGGTGGGGCCTGCTGGCGGCCACACAAAGAACCACTGTTGCTGCCTAGCCCAGAGGCACAGGCTCTGCGGCGTCACCCTGCCTGCCTGCAGTGGCCACAGAATCCCTGCGCTTCCAAGTGCCCCCAAGGTCGCCACCACAGGGAGCACTGGTGCCTGCTCAAGGTCAAACAGCGCTTCCCAATGGCAGAGCCAAACACCTCACAGAAGCACAGAGTCACGAATAAAGGACCTGCAGTAAGACAAGGAAAGGAACGATTTCTCGCCAATCTTTCTACCTGGAGACCTGGAGACCCTGTGCCACAAATGAACAAAGTCACCATTTCCAAAACAAACGCCTTCCTTGAAGGCACTTGCTGACGGCTGAGTCGTCGGACTCTCCGTCTCCCTTAATTCCTAGATCCTGACTCCTAAATCCCAGCACAGAGTCCACAGCCGGCCCATCTCGCCAATCAGCGGAGAGAAGACAAAAGCTTCCGTCGCCCAGGCTGAAGCCTCTGTGCTCAGGCTGCGCTGGCATCCCTGGTATTTTGGGGTTGGGAGAACACAGACAAAAGAAGAATGTTAACAAACGAAATACATGTTGTAAGATTTTAAGGCATTTAAGTTTGCCATATTTTAAAAGCTGATTCCAAAATGAAAAGGCATTTCAGGTGTGTTTCATTACTGAGTACCGGTTCCAGGCGCTTCAAGTGCTGGTGTAAGTTCAGGGCCAGTCGATCCCACCACCGGCCTCTGCTGTCAGGACAGTAAATTCTCTGAGACAAAAGGCTTTCAAGTTCTCTGACGGCTTCCTATTGCAACAATAACAAAGAAAGCTCGTTAGATTCACAAAAAATCCAGCTGTAATGACATTTACAAGCCCATAGGATTGGTAAAGCCTATTTATAATGCGTATCTTTCCATTCTACAATGAGGCCAAGGACCCGGAACTGACAGGACAGGGACTTTGAGGTGCCTTCTGGAGTGGGTGTGAGTTCCCTGAGGCATCCTTACTTTTCACCGGGTCCCTGCCGGCTGGCACTGGGGTACAGACATCTGTGAGTGCTGCAGAATGTTCTCTGCAAACCAGTCAACCAGTGCAGAGTCACACAGAGTCAAGCTCCAGGCAGCTGAGCACTGGTCACAGCTGGCAAACCCACATACTTCTGGGAACACAGTAGGTCACAGGACCAACTGCAAGAGGGATTTGGGGTAGGCAGGAAAGGAATTAGGGGTGTCCTCATACAAACACTTCAACTCAACAGGGAGACTCTCTGGTCTTAGATTATGTACAGACTGTTCGGTCATTCTGTTTGTTCATCCTCTGTGGCTAATGGACGTCTTTGCAATATGGAATGATTTACCCCCAAAAAATGCATAAACCCCCATACACATGCAAGTTTGAGATTCACAGATTTCCCCAAAGCCCACCCATCGATCCCCCGGGATGCACAGACCACACGCCAAGAACCCAGCTTCGCACATCCTCTTTGTAAGATCCCATTTTCTTTTCTTCTTGTTTTTCATACGTATATTTTTGACCATGCCTGGTCTGGAGATAACATTTTCAATATAGAAATATCAAACACAACATAAGTGAAATCTAGCAATTTCACAAAGTTTAGTATAAGGATATGACAGATTTCTGATTTGTGATTATAAATTATCTCCAGACAATCCATGAGAGCTGACAGGGAAGAGTAAGGAAACGGGAGATTTCTCCCTCAGGGATTTCTGGGACCTCCCAAGTCTCACACGGAGTTCTGAAAAAGACTCAGGCTCAGGCTGCAGACCTGTGGGGCACCCTCCAGGATGCTGGCCGCCACCCCCAGGCTGTCCTGGGACACAGATTCATCAACACACAGGCAAACAGAACAGCTGTCCGTCTTCACCTTCTTCTCTATACTAATCCAAGAGACAGCGGGCTGCCTACATTAAATATGCCCTCGTTGGCCAGGCACAGTGGCTCACACCTGTAATCTCAACACTTCAGGCCCCCCACTTCAAAGCATCAGAGGTCAAGGTGGGCAAATCACTTGAGCCCAGGAGTTGGAGATCAGCCTGAGCAACATGGTGAAACCTCAGCTCTACTAAAAATACAAAAATAAGGCAGGCATGGTGGTGCATGCCTGTAGTCCCAGCTGCTCAGGTGGCTGAGGCAGGAGGATGACTTGAGCCGGGGAGGTAGAGGCTGCAGTAAGCTGAACCATGCCACTGCACCCCAGCCTAGGTGAAGAGTGAGACCCTGTCTCAAAAAGACAAAACAAAACAAATATGCCTCCCTATATTACTGTGTGCTAACCAAATAAGTAGAAAATGCTGATCCCGACAGCTGTCCTTTATGTGCTTAATGCCATCAAATCAGTAATGGGGCACGGGGGAGGGGAGGGGGACAGGGACCTGTGCTCTAACCTCATACATGTGAAGTCTCTGCAGTATTTCCACAAACAGAGACAAAATCCTTGTATAAATCCACCCAACAGTAAAACACCGCAGAAAGAGTGGCAAATCTTCGTGGCATCTAAAATGAAGACATATACCAGGAGTTTAATAATTTGGTTAATTTGTTATAAGACAATAATAAGAAGTGACAAAGACTGAATTCCTATCTTTTAAAAAGATACATTCTAAATAACTTTCAGTTGTGTACAATTTTCTACACCACAAACCTACATTCTCACAGCCAGCTGCCACGTCCTAGGTCACTCAGACAGTGGAGGAAGATGAGAACTAGTCATTCTAAACCAGGGTCAGCGAACTCCGGCCCACAGCCAAACCCAGGGCCTGCCACCTGATTTTCTACGTCCTGCAAACTAAGAATGATTTTTACGTTTTTAAATTGTTAAAATAAATCCAAGAGAATAATACACTTTGGTAGACGAAAATTATATGGAAACCCAAATCCGATGTCCACAAATGAAGTTAACTGGAACACAGCCAGGCTCATTCATTTGCATACATACTTCTTGTGGCTGCTTTTGCGCTACAACAGCAGAGTAAATTTGGTGCCACAGAGACCATACGGCCTGCAAAGCCTAAAATATTCACTATGTGACCTTTTACAGAAGTTTATCAACCTCTGTTTATAGTAATCTAACTTCCTGTGATTTTTAAGTCAATATTATTTCTTTATAAATATACAGTTGACCCCTGGACAACATGGGTTTAAACTGCATGGCTCCACTTACATGCAGATTTTCTTCTGCCTCTGCCAACCCTGAGGCAGCAAGACCAACCCCTCCTCTTCCTCCTCCTCTGCAGCCTGCTCAATGTGAAGACAACAAGGATAAAGGCCTTCATGATGATCCACTTCCACTTAATGAACAGTGAATATGTTTTCTCTTCCTTATGATTTTTTTTTTTTTTTTGAGATGGAGTCTCACTCTGTCACCCAGGCTGAAGTGCGGTGGCGCGATCTCGGCTCACTGCAACCTCTGTCTCCCAAGTTCATGTGATTCTCCTGCCTGAGCCTCCTGAGTAGCTGGGATTACAGGCACCTGCCACAACACCCAGCTAATTTTTGTATTTTTAGTAGAGACAAGGTTTCACCATGTTGGCCAGGCTAGTCTCGAACTCCTGACCCACCTCGGCCTCCCAAAGTGCTGGGATTACAGGCATGAGCCACCACGCCCAGCCCCTTATTTTTTATTTATTTTATTTATTTATTTATTTTTTTGAGACAGAGTTTTGCTCGTTGCCCAGACTGGAGTGCAAGGGCGTGATCTCACCACAACCTCTACCTCCTGGGTTCAAGCGATTCTCCAGCCTCAGCCTCCTGAGTAGCTGGGATTACAGGCAGGTGCCACCGGGCCCGGCTAATTTTGTATTTTTAGTAGAGACGAAGTTTCTCTATGTTGGTCAGGCTGATCTCGAACTCCTGACCTCAGGTGATCCACCCGCCTCAGTCTCCCAGAGTGCTGGGATTATAGGTGTGAGCCACCGTGCCAGCCCCCTTATGATTTTTTTAATAACACATTCTTTTCCCTAGCTTACTTCATTATAAGAATACAGCATATAATACGTGTAACATATCCAATGTGTGTTAATTGACTATGTAATCGGTAGGGCTTCCAGTCAACAGTAAGCTATTAAGTAGTGCGAAAGTCAAATGTTACATACAGATTCTTGACTGTCTGAGGGGTCGGTACCCCAACCCCTGCGTTATTCAAGGATCAACTGTATATCCTAAATGATTTTTTGAAAGTGGCATCTGAAAATACTAATTTTTCTCATCACTATGTAACAACAAAGGAAAAAATGTCTTAAATATTGAAGATGTTTACCATTTTGAAACAAGATAAAAGATCATGTGCTGTATGCCTGGAACTCTGAAGTTCGCTTGAGCTGTCTTTTGCAGAGTTTGTAACACCTACTTGAATGTCCTTCAGAAGAACACACCTACCATGCTTCCCACATTCGTCCTGCTACTGGCTTCCCTCACGTTTCAGTTCAGCTCACCAGTACTCAGGGAGGCCAACACTCCTACAGATGGCATGCGACAAGCCAAGTATGGGGTTGGCATGTGTGCTGCCCAGGGATCTGAGTTATATCAAATTCACTTTAAACCTTCAGACATTTCCTTCTATGGCACACAGCACTTTCACTCTAGGCAAAGTGGGTACAAAATTCAATTCCACAGCTGGTTTAACCACAGAGCAAAAGGAGTACATTCTTCATGAAGAAAGCTACTGTAAGTGTTTGGAACAACCTGGTCAATGTATAAATTTTGGCAGGCACCTAGAAAAACTCTCACCTCAGAGAAGGGTGGTTTTTCAGTCTGTTCCAATCCCTTTTTGCACACTGAGCGAGATCCTTAGCTTCTTCCCAGTTCCCGTTGGCCATTGCGGAAGAAATGTCACTCAGCATGTGCGTGGCTGCTGCATATCGAGGAAAATGCCATCCAAGTTCCAAATAAGAATAAGCATTCCCATAGAATGACCACATCCTAGCCACTAGATCTCACTCTAAAAGGCAGAAGTGTGTTTTTTAAAATATGAGGGCCACTTAAATTTTATTCTAGTAATAATTTCTCTTAACTACATCACTGGAGTGGCCCAGAATGGATACAGAAAGCCCAAGTGGAAAGATAAAAACATTTGTGCTGTATCATTACATAACATGTTCCATTCTATCAATGTGATATGGATCAGCTCATCCTTCCTGATTCTGGCACTCATCCATTCACTCATTCAACAATGTGACAGCAAACATGTAAGCGACGTCAGAATTACAGTCAGATGTAGATCTGATGATTTAATCATTTACAATCAGAGCCAGCCAGAGGGGATGCTGCCCAAGCTAAAAGGATTACCTGGAATATTTCAAAATAACTAAGGGATGCTCTTTGGGAGATGGCAATGCTGAAATGTTACAACTTAGCTTAAGAAAGACAATTTTTCATCGCTCCTTTAGCTACCAAAACACAAAGACATTTGACCAGCAAATTCTGTTAACAGTTTGAGTACATGTTCATTGTATTTTGGTCTCATATCTAAAAGAAAAGCCTAAAGCACATAATATCAGTATGTACAAACACTGTAAAGTAAGAGTAAAGAAACTGCCTCCAAATGTCAAATTTTGCTCACAAATTCTTAGATCTAATTCTTTTATAATACGCTGCTCATTCAGTTCCATGGCTTCAAACACTGTCCATATCCCAATGACTCTCAAAATGTTGACTTTTTCCAGGCCGGACCCATTCCCTGAGCTCCTGACGGCAAGTCCAATGCCACACACGACAGCTTCAACCAAACAGCTGAAGAGCACCCCACACACTGACGCCTCCAGCACCAATCCCCCTCAGTGGATGGCGCTCCACCCAAGGCAAACACCAGAGCCATCCTTGATCCACTCCTCTCCTTCTCGCCCACATCAGGATCAAGTCTTGTCTTTTCTGCTTCCAAACCGCCTCACACACATTCACTTCTCTCCACTGCCGCTGCCACCAACCCAGTCCTGGCCACCCCCCAATCTTAGCCAGGGGTCTCCTGAGCTCCTCCAACTCAGCAAGCTCTCTCCTGCCTCACGGCCTGTGCTATCTCGTGGCCGGGACACAGGCGCCCAGACCCTGACACGGCTACCTCATTCTCATCCTCAAGTCCCACTTCAAATGTCACCTCTCCAGGGCCACTGTCGATAAAGAACTTCCCCAGCCTGCCTCTCAATTATCACAGCACTTCTCACACACTTGAAATATTGTTTATTTTCTATCTCCCCAGGGAAACATAGCCCCATGACGGCAGGCTCTCTCTTGTACACTGCTACAACCCCTAACCAAGTCACATAATAGGTACTCAACACTCATTTGTACTGAATGAATGAGAAAAATTTTAAAAGGATAAATTATCTCAAGTACAGAGGTAGACAACAAGGGTTTCCTGGCCAGGTATCACATTACCAGATATTGTATACTATTACCTTTCCAGAAGTCAATTAAATCCAGTTTCATTTACATGTTAAGGCCCTCTGCTTAACCAAGGGAGTTTTCATTATTTTTATTATTTACAGCACACTTACTTTCTAGAAAGAATGAGATGCCTTTTAAACTTGTCAACCGTGGTTTTGTCATAGAACTTGGGTATAACATTAATAATGACAATTAAAATAATAATGAACATGTAGTAGGCATTCCTCAAGGCCAGGCTCTAAGCACTTCCCATTCACCCCACCCATGTCTATAAAAATATACTATTATTCTCCCCATTTGACAGATGAGGAAACTGAGGCACAGGGTGGGTTCACAGTTCATTGGTATAGAAACTGGAACTTGGCTTCAGAGTATACATTCTCGCAAGCCAGAAAAACATAAAGCCAATAAAAACAAAAAAGGTAAAGAAGATATGAGACAACTGAAAACAGGGTAAGAAGAAATAGTCTTATTAGAGATTTTAACTAAAAAAGTTATTCCAATTGAACACAAATAAGATACTGAGCTTCCTGACAGCTAAGGTAAAATGGGCAAAATCAGATTATACTGACGCTGCTGTGATCCAAAAATTTCAGTAACTTACTTCTTAAAGCACATGGCTTTCCTAGAAACACTTCAAGGACTTTCCTAAAAGCAAATATCAGAATCAATTTTGGTTAAATTTGAGTCAGAAATCCAAATCAAGAATCAAAAGTGACATTTTGGGAAATCCAAATTAATTGTTTTTATCAAAGGTTTTTTTTTTTTTTAAGGAAATTCACATTTTTTTTCTGTAAGACCTACACTATTCTTTCTTTTCAAAACCTGCTTTTTAATACTGTAATCCCATTATTTGTCTGGCATCTATTATTATTCTTAATTAACATAAAATTGCACATATTTATGTGGCACAGTATGATGATACTTCAATGCATATATGCAATGTATAATGATCAAATTAGGGTAATTAGCATATCCAGCACCTCAAACTTTTCAAAAAATGTTTTAGAGATGGGGTCTCATTATATTGCCTGGGCTAGTCCTGAATTTCTGGACTCAAGTGACCCTCCTGCCCCAGCCTCCCGAGTGGCTAGAAATATAGGCATGTGTTGCCATACCAGGCATTGCCTCAAACATTTATCATTTCTTTGTGTTGGGAATATTCTAAATCCATTCTTCTATTTAAAAATAGATAATAAACTGTTGCTATAGTCATCCTACACTGCTACAGAACAAAAGAACTTATTCCTTCTATCTAGCTGCACTTTTGTGTCTGTTAAGCAACCTTTCCCTGTCCCCCTCCCCTCTATCCTTCCCAGCCTCTGGGAACCACTATTCTACTCTCTACTTCTGTGAGATCCACATTTTTACCTCTCACATATGAGTGAGAACATGCAGTATTTGTCTTTCTGTGCCTGGCTTATTTCACATAACATACTGTCCTCTGAGCTCATCCATGTTGCCACCATGAGAGAATTTCATTCTTTTTTATGGCTCAATAGTACTCCATTGTGTATATATACCACATTGTTTTAATCCATTCATCCACTGATGGACACTTAGGTTGATTCCACATCTTGGCTATTGTGAATAGACTGCAATAAACATAGGAGTACAGATATTTCTTCAATATACCAATTTCTTTTCCTTTGGGTATATACCCAGTAGTGGGATTAGTGGATCACATGGTAGTTCTTTTAGTTCAGAAACCACTTTTATTGGACAAACCAAATTTTCACTAAATCCATGTGCCAATATAAATTAGTGAAAATTTCTAATATCATCTGTATATCTAATTATCATATGTATGATATACAAGTCATTAATAGCTTTACCTAAAGTGTTATTAATAAGAAAACATTCATCTTCAGTCTTGTTCATACCAACAACATATTCATAAGCCAAGTCTGTTAAAATGTCTGTGTCAAAAAATACAGGCCAAGGGCGGTGGCTCATGTCTATAATCCCAGCACTTTGGGAGGCCAAGGTGGGCTGACTGCTTGAGTCCAGGAATTTGAGACCAGCCTGGGCAACATGGTGAAACTCCATCTCTACCAAAAAAATACAAAAACTAGCTGAGTGTGCTGGCATGTGCCTGTGGTCCCAGCTACTTGGGAGGCTGAGGTAGGAGGATCACTTGGGCCCAGGAGGTCGAGGCTACAGTGAGCCATGATCATGCCACCGCACTCCAGCCTGGGCGAAATCCTGTCTTAAATCAAAACAAACAAACAAACAAAAAATACTCCCTTCCAAAGGTACTTGGAAACATAAACCAGAGAAAGTTTTTGTAGTTCTAATTCAAAATTCCTTGGGTTTTGGCAACCATAATCTCAGCACACTTCTACATTTTCCCTATAGTCATAGAAATGTATATAAGTGGGGCAAAAAGTGATTAAAAACTGTTTTGGCTGTGGACTTATGTCCAAATGTTTCTATTTTGGCTGGAAAAAAATAATAAAACCTTTTACTATATTGTGAAATACACATATAGATATCATAGTGAGCTAACATCATCTTACCTGATAAGATCATCTCTGTCTTGGAAGATTTGGGTTTTCCGATTGATGGTGTAAGTCGGAAACTCCATTCGGCCAAGGTTGACCAACAGGACCGTTGAAAGCTGTCCCTGACCTCCACAAGCGGCGTCTTCATCCTCCATGGAGTCGGTCAACGAAAACAACAGCAAGATCCGGGAAAACACAGCCCTGGGGCCTTTACAGATTCGTATTGACTGTCCAGCCAAGGCTTTGGCTCTGAAAAATGTACAATGTAGAAACAACTTTTAGCTCTTTAAGCATTTGGATGTCAGATTTTACAAATTATTTTCATCTAAAATAAAGAGAAATGACATTCACTATTTTAAACACTGGAGCATTACTTAACTGCTCTGGGACTGAGAGCTCACCCAGGGATACACAGGAGTAAATGAATGTACATCTCCAAATGGTTCCACTCATGGTTTTGCTTCCTCAGCCACAAAGTAGGATGGGGTTTACCCTGGTCATGAGTGCTTCACATACCAGGAAATCTTTCAGAAAAGTATCACCTAGTCAACATGAAGCAATTCTCAATTTTTTACTCAAGTGATGATTTAGATTAAATAATGGTATTTCTTTAAAATGTCATTATCAAAGGCTCTGGGCAAAACATCGGATTTTGTGTACCAAGATGTGGTGCAAATGTATACACCACAGTTTGGTGCTGTTCTCTAATGCAGCAGTCAGCAACGCTTTTGGCACCAAGGAGTGGTTTCATGGAAGAGAATTTTTCCATGGACTGGGGTTGGGGGAGGTATTTTGGGATGAAACTGTTCCACTTCAGATCATCAGGCAATAGATTCTCATAAGGAATGCGCAGCCTAGATCCCTCACATGCACAGTTCACAATCGGGTTCGCATTCCTGACAGGAGGTAAAGCTCAGGAGGTCATGCTGTCTGGCACACTGCTCACCTTCTGCTGGGTGGCCCAGTTCCTAACAGGCAATGGATAATTATCTGTCCCTGGCCTGGGGCTGCAGACCCCTGCTCTAGTGTACAGAATGGTCCAGCAGCATCTCTATTCTAGGATAACACTGGAGTGAATTCAGTTCCATTCTGGATGTCTGCAAGGTGGGCTTGGAGGTCTAAATTAAACCCAGGACCATGTGGGCCCTCTGACTCTAGCAGCTTAGACACCATCAATAGCAGGGTTTTTCAGCGTCAGCACTATTGACATTTAGGCTAGATAATTCTTTGTTGTCAGGGGCTGTCCTGTAAATTCTAGGATGCTCTGCAGTGTCCTGTCCTTGGCCTCTATTCACTAGATGCCATTAGCTTCATCACCTCCAGTACTGACAACCAAAAATGTCTCCAGCTGATGCCAGATGCCCCCAGTTGAGAACCACTGGCCTAATGAAAGATGTCACACCCTCCTGGTGCAGAAGCTACTAAATCAAAAGCAGCACTGCATCCCTGAGGATGTGGGAGAGATGAGTGCCACCATCACGGAGTTGAAGGGGAAGAGGTGGGATTCCTATTACACCACCACTGAACTGAGAGCCACTCATCTACAGACTGCCCCAAAGTACCCATTTCATCCACCTCCATGCAGAGTCCCAGGGACGCCCCCAGTGGACACAGCCTCCAGCCTGGAAAAGGAAGCATTAAACGCAGAAAACTAAGCAATGACTCCTGCAAGGATTAAAAAAGCATAAATAATGTGCCTTTTCCTGTCTTCATTATAACAGCAGAGTAAGAGCACCAGGCAACTGCCCTGAAATTCCACTGCTGGGCTTTACATCAGAATGAAAAAATAAAGGACAACCTTAAAGGACAGTGGTTTTTACTAGAACTAAAACAGCCTTGAGGATTCTATTTTCCTACAAGTCCAAAGTCAGTGATAAAATACATTCATCTTATTTATTTTAGCTGTTCTATGTTAAGTGTATATACCAAGAAACGGTTGCTAGTTTTTTGTTTTTTTTTTAAGATGGAGTCTCGCTCTGTCACCCAGGCTGGAGTGCAGTGGCACGATCTCAGCTCACTGCAACCTCTACCTCCCAGGTCAGGCAAGTCTCCTGCCTCAGCCCCGCAGGTAGCTGGGATTACAGCCACGTGCCACCATGCCAGGCTAATTTTTGTATTTTTAATAGAGACAGGGTTTCACCATATTGGCCAGGCTGGTCTTGAACTCCTGATCTTGTGATTCACCTGCCTCGGCCTCCCAAAGTGCTGGGATTACAGGTGTGAGCCACTGTGCCCAGCCAGAGAGCTGCTAATTTTGATGTTTACTTGCCTATAAAATGTTACATATAAGGTTAACATCAAATACTTAAGAAATACAATTAGATAAAGAAAGGACTTAGAAGACATTTAACATACCACACAGATGAGGATTCTATACTTCTCAAGTCAATTAATTACAAATATGTGATTTATTAAAGTACTTTTTAAAAATCTGTAATACAAGCTTTTTTGAAGTGTTGTATTGACGTTTTTCTTAATAATGTCTGCCTTATTATACCTATGTTTCATTAAAGATTAGTATTTATAGCACCTCCCCAACAAGGATGGGCTCATAACAACTGAAATATACCAAATAAACATAGAAAATAAATAACAACATCATTTTAAAGTGTTTTTCAAAAGCATCCTCTCATTTCATCCTCAGTGACTCCAGAGTAGTGAATTCCCAGACTAAAGTTGATATAGTTTGATTATATAAATAACATGGGCAAAAGAAATCAATTCTAAAAGTTTTTATAATTTTCAAATGAAACAGGTCAAGGGCTTCTCAAGGACAAAAGAAGCCACTCACAGTGTTTGGTAAACTGTTATGTTTACACTCATGAAAACTTGCACATTAAGACTCCCTGATTATACTTTGTTTAGTAAACAAAAACTTTACTAAAATAAAAATTTGACTTAATAGTTTAGCCTAAAATCCTGTAAGAATCACTTAAAACTGTATTTTTCTCAGAAAATAAAATAATAGAATTTACCAAAGGCCCCACTGCCTTCTGATTTTTCTTGGTCATGGAAATTAACACAGTGTTATGACAAAAATTTTGAATAATAACCCAAGAAAGAATCCAGGCTATTGCAATTAAGACTTTTCCGGCCTTCTCAATCTAATTGCAACTGAAATATACAATTACAGTTAAACCAAGTATACAATCTACTGTAAGTTAATATGTGCTATCAACATTTTAAACGTTTTTACTGTAACGATAGCCAACAAAACCTTTTTAAAATCACTGCACCAATTCCAGGCTTATTCTTGCCCCAAGTGCAGACTGAACGCTGTTTGGCCAATTTGAGAAAGGCGTCCACCAGCTGCTGTTTCTGTCCATTGGGATTCACCAAATGGAAGGTCTTGGCCAGGGATTTTAGTTCAGGAGCAGAAAGGAGTTCAAGCACTTCAGAGAGTTCTTGCAACTCAGATTCTGAAATGGTTAAAAAAAAAAATTTTTTTTTAATTTTACTATTTTCTAGCTTAATTTCCCTTAGTTAGATGAAAATAAAATGAAATTCTACTAAGAAAATTTTAATTAGTTGCCCAAAACAATCATTAAATGTGGAATTATTAACATATTAATAATGCTATCATATCTCTTAAAAAGGGTTATCGAATAATAGAATTTCTCACTAAAATCTAAAGGAAAATGTGACTAAAATAAAGGCACACATGGATAGCCATTATGGTTTGGGCATCTCAACACTTGCTTGGAATATATACTCCCTGCCTTTCTCTTCACGAAACCCCTACAAAACGGGACCTCTCAAACCAGGTCAGAGAAACTGAGCATCAGCCCTCTTCTTCCCACAAGAGCCTCTCTTGCCCACTCAGCATTCGTGAGCCTGTTTGGCTACTGTGGGCCCCGACACCAACCTTGGCCTAGGAATTCGGCTCAGTCAGACTTCACTGGTCTTTGCCTTCAAGGCTTCACAGTTTAGGGCAGTGCCTTCTTCCCCCATTCAGCAAATATTTATTGGGTGTACACTGTCTGCCTGGTAATGTTCTAAGGTCCCGGGCATGCTACAGTGAAAGAAATCCCATCCACAGGAGCTAGCTTCCCAGCATAATAATTAAATGAATAGGCATATTTTTCAGGTGGTAATAACCGCTCTAAAGAAAAACACAACTTGGGGAGGCAAACCGAAGCTGGCAGGAGGCTGGCTGCATTTCACATTGTACAGTCAGGCAAACCTCTGACGAGGCGACACCACGCAGAGGTGAAGGAAAGGAGGACTCTGCCACGTGGCCACGTGGTAGAAACTGACCTGGGTGGAGGGGAAAGTGCAAGGCTCTGACACAGGAATGCGCTCATGCTGGTGAAGAACACTGAGGGCTGGGTGGCCATGGCAGAGAGCGAGAGGGACAGCCAGAGCCAGGCCCCACAGGGCTGGAGCATGGGTGGGACTTGCACTTGACTGAGTGCCACAGTGAGCCACCAGAATCCTGGTTTTGTTGCTCATCTGAAGGTAAGTCAAGGCTCACCCACAGCAGTCACTTGGCATGCCTGTCAGACATATGAATTTATGGAATCTGCACATTTTCCAAGTTGGGTGGGGACTGAGTATCAAGTCCCCAGGTGACCCTGCTGGCACTGATGTGTGGGAAGCGCTGCTCTGCAGAGGGTCCTGTGTCCCACCACTAACCGTTCACATCCAAGCTCCTTCACTGAGCTTTTATGCCTCTCCCGCAACTTTCCCCATCCCATCCCATCCGGCCCCACCCTAACAATCACCCTAACACACTTCCTGCTCACTTCGCTTCATCCCACTTACTGCTCCCCACAACAAACTCTGCCCCAAAGAAACCATCTGGCTGATTTGCTTATTTTGGTCTAAAAAGTCAGCAACTTGAACCGAAGGCTCACATTTCCCTTTCCTAATACAGTACAATTTTGTGCCCAGTACATGGGTAGGTACTTAATGAATGCTACTGACAAGACAACGGAAGGTATCACTGCAGAAGGCAGAGTCCCCTTAGTGTTCACACAGGCTTAAAGCAATTCGACAACGCTTCAGGCAATCAGCATAATCGAAGAGCTGTCTGTGTGTGAACGGGGCGGGGGGCAGATGAAGTACTCCGAGGCAATACTGGTTTCAAACAACCAGCTTTATTCTATCATAAAGATGAGGACGCTGACTAAGATGAGTCAAGTTCTTGCTGGAAGGAGAGTGCCAAGAAGGGATGTATTTTTTCTTTTTTTTTTTGAGACGGAGTTTCACTCTGGTTGCCCGAGCTGTAGTGCAATGGTGCAATCTCGGCTCACCACAACTTGAACTCGCCTCCCGGGTTCAAGTGATTCTCCTGCCGCAGCCTCCCAAGCAGCTGGGATTACAGGCCTGCGCCACCACACCTGGCTAATTTTGTATTTTTAGTAGAGACGGAGTTTCTCCATGTTGGTCAGACTGGTCTCGAACTCCCAACCTCACGTGATCCACCTGCCTCGGCCTCCCAAAGTGCTGGGATTACAGGCATGAGCCACTGTGCCCGGCCGGGATGTATTTCTTCTGTGGCACACACCCATGTCTATCTCTAGGTGATTTTCGTTCTAAACCTGCCACAGTCCAGAAAACAGCAGCAGACCACCTTTCATTATTCTAGTATTCTTAACTCAGGCTAAGAATGGCTTTAGCATTATATGAATAATTAGATTAAAAATTCAATTAAAAAATAGTAAGTTACCAGGCACCACCCAGGGGAGGGCACCATAATACTGCCACCATTCTGCAGAAGCTCAATTCTTCAGATCATATTTTCATTTCACATTTCCTTCTACTAGTCATACCTGTCTGTAGAAAGCCTGCATTCTTCAATTCTTCAATCACAGGTGTTAAGTCTGAGGCAATCTCTTCATATTCTAATTTAGTCATCTTAATCCAGCTTAATTTACGTTGAAAGAGCCTTACATATAACTTCTGACCAGTAACTGCAATAAAGTTAAGAAAAACGTTGAAAATCACTACATTTACCTTTTAAACCTAAGGTGAGTAAATGTACTATTTAAATACACATACGCTTACCACATGTATAAGGCCATCATTTTATGGTATAAACCATTTTGAAAGTACATTTAAAAATTTGGTAACAATTATTGGCCATTTTAAAACTTCTAAAATCAAGTTCCCCCTTTTCTAGCCATCAACATTTCTACTCCCTCAGAAAAGCCCTCACCAGAATTCTTATTTTGTTCTCCACTCTTAGCTTAATATGCATTATTCTGATTTAATTGAAAATAATCTGAAATAATTTTCCAAAAAAAAAATGTCTAGCTTCAGTAGGGCAGTCATCTCTAACCCAGCAATCTTGACCAAGCTTCCTAATTAACCTGTTTGGTTTCAATCTCCCTATTACCCAGATTATCTTTAAATTTCGGCCAACTCTAAAATGGTTTAATTGTATTTTGAAAATTTCCAACATTTATTTTCCTTTCTTCTTTAAAAAGGCAAAATTGACCTGTCATGATGGCTCATGCTGGTGGGTTTTTTGTTTGTTTGTTTGTTTCTTTGTTTTTGAGATGGAGTTTTGCTCTTGTTGCCCAGGCTGGAGTGCAATGGTGCAGTCTCAGCTCACTGCAACTTCTGCCTCCCAGGTTCAAGCAATTCTCCTGTATCAACTTCCCAAATAGCTGGGATTACAGGTGCCCGCCACCATGCCCGGCTAATTTTTGTATTTTTAGTAGAGACAGGGTTTCACCATGTTGGTCAGGCTAGTCTCGAACTCCTGACCTCTGGCCATCTACCCACCTCGGCCTCCCAAAGTGCTGGGATTACAGGAGCGAGCCACCACACCCAGCCTATGGCTCATGCTTGTAATCCCAGTGCTTTGGGAGGCTGAGGCAGGAGGTTCGCTTAGGACCAAGAGTTCAAGGTCACAGTGAGCTATCATTACACCACTGCACTCCAGCCTGGGTGACAGACAGAAACCCTGTCTCTAAAAGAACTTAAAAATAAAAAAATAAAAAGGCAAAAACAATTAGCAGTAATTATTTCTACACACCAACAGATTGTACATGATTCTCCATTGAGTGCAAGACACATGCATATGCAGGACTTGCACTAGGAAAACTGTTCCTATTTCTCAATTACATGGAAGCACAGAACCACCAATCACTGAAATATTCACAGGAATGCAATCAGCACCCAACCAAAGATCTGTGACTAGTTTGGATAGAAAAGCCGATGTGCTATTATGTCCATCTTCTGGTGAGAACAGCAGAAGTAGAGATGCAAGTGGATACTACACACAGCTGTGCCCAGAGAATTATTGTTAAAAAGTAACACAAGGAATACCATAATTCCACTGTGCGAATTTAAAACAAAAATCCTTCTCTTAAACATTAATAGTAATGTTTAGGATTCTTCTCTTTTTTTATCTACTGAGGAGTCACACATGGCTGCATTTTACTAAAGGACAGTGAGACCACCACGTAAGTTTTTTCCTGCCCTCAGGGACATGGTTCCACAGAGCCATCATGGCCCTCTGAATAACACTGTAAGGACACAAGGGTGGCTTTTACTACAAACCTGCACTACTGGCTTGGAGCCACCCCTGGCTGCCAAGGACTTGAGGCATGGACTAATATTTGTAATGTACCAATTTCAGCTTGAAAGTTTCCATTTCCTCCACACCCTGTCTTTAAAAGGCACAGTCCATGAATCTAAAATGTTGTTGGGAGAAAGAAAACATGCCTCAGGTTAGTTTGTTTTTTCCTGTATTGTATTTTATTCTACTTTCATCTTTGAGGACAACAAAACAACCTAATGGGAAGCCTGATTACACGCTCAAAATGCAAACTCTGCTTTTCTCAGTCACATTGTATTGTTTTTTTAAGCTGGAAAAGGTGGTTTTATAACTAACAAATTTACCTATAAACGAAAAACAGCTGCTTCCAATGTAACCAAAGTTCAGCAGGAGTAAACATCACCTGGGACAAAATCCTGTCTCTTTTCCATGCATCCCTCTCAATAAAACCTTCGAGTATGCTCCGACTGCCATCAACACTCCCACAGGGTACTCACAACACCACAGTGACTCCTTGCGGTCACTAGATTACTGCCCATCACACCATGCCCCAATCAGAGCAGCAAAAGGGGAATGAACACTTGAAAACAAACACGTGCGGAAGATACCTGATAACTGATAAAATTGAGTTACGATTCCCTTCTCCTGCTCATCAAAGAGCATCATATCATCTTCATTCTCAAGTACGGTTTTCAGCACCACAAGGAAACTCCGAAGGTAGTAAGGATGACCAGTTGTTTGACCGGGACCATTGCAGCTTGACCCCTGCTCCAAAGGAATGCTGCAAGGGATATCACTGTTTAAGCAACTGTTATCCTGCAAAGGAGGTTCTTGGATGTCACTCCATGCAGAAGCATCATCTGCAGAACTATGAGATTTTGCCTCTGAATCTGACAGCTGCATTTTAGCTTCTGAAGCAACAGTCATTTTTACTTCTTCACGACATGCCTCACGTTTTTCAACCACTCCTTGGATACACTCTTGCTTTACAAGACTGTCTTCTGAAGTAGACTTTAATGTATTCCCAAGAGTGAAATCTGGTGAAAATAACATGATTGCATTATCTGAGAAGCCAGGGCTGAGGGCTGATTTCTCACATTCCTGGGTAGCCTTTTGGTTTTTGGCTTCCATTATTTTACTTCCCCTCATCATATGTTCGGGAATACACTCTTCCTTCAGAGAATCACATACAAACACGTTTTCTTTTTGAGAACTGTTCTGCAAAATTTGATCCTCGTCCTCAATTTCTGAAGAGTTATCAACCAGGCTCTTATCAACTGTGGATCTGGAACTCTGTGGACTAGAACCGGCAAATTCTTCATCCTTATCTATTGATTTTTTAGCCTTTACGTATTTTCTGGACAATTTAGATGCTAGGCTTCCCAAACAAATGACTTTCACACTACGATTTCTCAGCGTATCTTGATGTTTGCACACCACACCATCCTTACTTTTAAAGTAGGGACTGGTCTTCTGCTTTACGTCCATTTTTGCTGAATCGCTTTGGCCAGGGGTTAAATTTCTCTTTGGTGGTGGTGACTTCTTTGGTGTTACATCTTCTAAGGTAACACTGGTTAAATCTACTGTAGACACATTTGAATTTATTAAGCCCACCTGCCCTGGATCCACTTGAACGAAGTCACTGTTAGCACACATTTCATCAAGGTGCCGGTTTAAGTCATATCTAGGCACCATTTTACTGCAAACGGGGCAGGCAAGTTTAGCAGGTGGTACATTGTTAAAACACGAAATAATAGAATTAGATGCTTTTTTCTTATTCTTGCTGATTGATAAGCTTCTACGAGGCCTTTTTTTGTCAGGAGGTTTCCCTTCTGACATCACGAGTATTAGAAAAACTGGATGTTCTGAGCAATAAAACACAGGATATTTACGGTGAAAGATAGCAATGGTTTACTTTTACTTTCTTGACTTGCAGTCACCAAAAGTGGGATTCTATGTGACCTCATGTTATTCGTCTAGACAATTTCTTCTTCCTACAAGAAGAAACATATGAATTAAAACACTTCCATGAATTCAACAAGGGGAAAAATGAACTCTGAAACGTGGAAGAGCAAGGTCTCCTGGAATGAAGAGACAACCCTGAGCGTGAGACAGAAGCCCAAACCCCTCCGACAAGCTCTGTACGCGATCTTAGGGTCCCTTACCATAAAATGACATAGCCGGGCTTGTAAGGCTAATTTCTAGGACATCTTTAAGACCTAAAACTATCCGTTTCTAAAAAGGGACAATTTGACCACTTCAGACCCTTTATAAGACCACCGTATGAGTAACTTTTTCTGAGTGTGATGGAGAATATCAGCGCGTGGCCCAGGGTGATGCCCGCCCCACAGGCCGGCGCAGATGAAACGCCCCAGCCCCGGGCAGCTGCGCCCGCGCCGCCTGCCACCACCGCCGGCCTCTGCTGCGGAGCCGAGGCCCCGGCCAGCACGGCGGGCGCTGCAGGGCCAAGGCCGCGCACCTGGGGCCACGCGACTGAGCCCGAGCCACCCTCCCTGCTCCCTCGGGCCCGGCTGCCCTCGCGTCCTCCTTCCCTCGGTGCCCTGTCGCCCAAGATCCCCGCGCGGCCACCGCGCACCTCCCACCTGGCTCCGCGCGCCGGCGCTTCCAGACATTCCCAGCCGATCCCCGCGTCTCGCTTCCACAGGCTTGGCAAGTGGAGGCTCGAGTGATCGATCTCCTTTCCTTTCCACGTTTAAAGGCTCCCATACCTTAGGTGGCGGAGGCGGGCTGAGCCTTGGAGCGGAAACCCAGCTGCCTCCTTCCTTTCCCGCCCGCAGAGGCAGGCGCTTGTGCGTCCCCGCACGCCTTTTGTGCTGCTGTGCACTCTGAGACTTCTCTCCCCAGTCGGTGGGAAGGGCGAGCAGGCTAAACTTGTTTGTTGCGGGAGCAGTCAGTGTCAAAGCGAGCAAACAGCCCCCTGCGAGAAGGCGGGCGACTTCTGCAACCAACACGTGGAACTCTACTTAGGCTGACTCCTGCCAATCAGAGAGAGGGAGTTTCAGCTGGAAAACCACTGAGCTGGGTTTTCCAAAAGATAGTACTAATCACCGGTTATCTGATTCCCTTGAAATAATCAAGAACCAAGAAATAAAAGGTAGCGATTAGGAAGTGATGCGTCTTGAGTATTTATAACTTCTCTTTTTAATGTAATTTATTTGTAAGGTTATATAATTTATTTAACTTTTAATAATGGCTGTGTTTAACAGCTGAAATTATTATTATTTTTTTTTTAGACGGAGTCTCGTTCTGTCGCCCAGGCTGGAGTGCAGTGGCGATCTCAGCTCACTGCAAGCTCCACCGCCCGGGTTCACGTCATTTTCCTGCCTCAGCCTCCCGAGTAGCTGGGAGCACAGGCGCCCACCACCACGTCCGGCTAATTTTTTGTATTTTTAGTAGAGACAGGGTTTCGCTGTGTTAGCCAGGATGGTCTCGATCTTTTGACCTCGTGATCCGCCCGCCTCAGCCTCCCAAAGTGCTGGGATTATAGGCGTGAGCCACCCCGCCCGGCCTAACAGCTGAAAATTTAACAATCAGCCCTGAAACACTGACACCAGCGTGTTCCAGCCCACCGTGAATGACCTAGAATGCAAGCTTCTTGAGATCAGGCGGTTGTGTTTGTTGCCTTTGGTTGTGTTTGTTGCCTTTACTATAACATCGCTGCTGCCTGCAGCAGTGGCTAGCGTTGTGTAATTATTCATAAATATACATTGAATGAGTGCATAAATGAGCAAACTGAAGAGAATAAGGACATAAATAGGGAGTTCATTAACAAGAATGTATTGATTGCCTACCTCATTCCGGGTAACATTTTAGATGCTGAAAATATGTGGCAGTGAACGATGAGGAATGGGAGGAAATTCTTCCTTGGAGGGAGGGGAAGTCGTCATGAAGGATACATTCTGGTGGAAGAAGATAGAGAAATATAAAAAGTGAACTGTGTGGTGAAATCGAAGACGAGTAAAGCCAGAAACATCTTAGGGGTGAGAGGGTTACAAATTGAAAGAGTGGTAAGGAAAGGCCTCACTGACAAGATGACATTTGAAGATTGACATTGGCCTGAAGGAGGTAATGGTGTGGACCAAGAGAAGGCCATGGTAGTCCAGGAAACAGCAACAGCACATGTAAAAGCCCTGAGGCAGAAGATTGTCTAGCGGACTCTAAGAACACCAAGGAGCCAGAAGAAAGCAAAGCCAGGGAGGCAGCAGAGAGCCAGACCATGGAGGGCAAGTGTTAGCCAATTTGTTCTGTAAAGGGCCAGGTAATAAATGTTTGAGGCTTTTGGGACCATGTGGCCTCCATCATAACTAGGCAACACAACTATTGTAGTGTGAAAGCATCTATAGACAATATGTAACATATGAGTGTGGTTTTGTTCCAATAAATTTTATTTACAAAAACAGCTGGCTAACTTGCCATCCAGCTACTTACTGTGTGTCAGCACCTGATGTATGACCCTGCAGGTCATTGTATGGATTTGAGCATTGACTCTGAGTGAGATGGGAGGAAGGGAGACAAAGATTTTGAGCATAAGCTCTAAAAGGACCCCTTTCCCTGTTGCAGTAAGAATAGAGCTTGAGGCCAGGTGCGGTGGCTCATGCCTGTAATCCCAGCACTTCGGGAGGCCGACGGATCACCTGAGGTCAGGAGTTTGAGACCAGCCTGGCCAACATGGCAAAATCCCATCTCTACTAAAAATACAAAATAAATAAATTTGCCAGGCATGGTGGCACACACCTGTAATCCCAGCTACTCGGGAGGCTGAGGCAGGAGAATCGCTTGAACCCAGGAGGTGGAGGTTACTGTGAGCCGAGATTGCACTATTGCACTCTAGCCTGGGCAACAAGAGAAAAACACCTAAAAAAAAAAAAAAAAAAAAAGAATAGAGCTAGAGCTTGGGGCACACAAGGAGGAAAGCAAGAGAGGAAGCAAGGAAAACAGAAGACTGATGCAGTAATCCAAGGAGAGATGATGGTGGCATGGGTCAGTGTGTTAGCATTGCAATTGATAAGAAATCGTCATATTCTGAATATATTTAGAAGGCTGAGCCAGCAGGATCTGCTCATGGTAAAGATGGTAAGGTACAAGAGAGGAAGAGTCAAGGGAAACTCTGAGGGCTTTGGCCTAGCAACTGGCAAGATGGAGGGGAAAGAGTAAGAGTTCAGTTTCAGACGTGTAAGTTTGAGATAATATTTAGATATTCTTGTAGACGAAAATCCTTGAATTGATTAATCAAGTCAGGTCAGGATGGAAATTAAATTTGGGAGTTGTTGGGGTTTAAATGGTATTAATATATGGGACCAAGGATTGACTGTAAATAGAGAACTAAATGGTGAGAAGACTGAGCATTCCATAACAAAAGGCAGGGCATTGAGGAGGAGCCTGCAAAGGAGACTGAGCTGGTGCAGTAGGAGGAAGAGAGAGTTGGCAGCCGGAAAACCAAGTGACTGAGGTATGACAAGGACTGAGGGGCATCAGATGCAGGCAGAGAACTGTCACGAGGTGGGGACACAGCAGAGAATGCCTTCACAGGCAATGCCCAGAGAGTCATTGGAGCAGGGCCACCCCTGAGACCCTGGACCTCTAGAGCCACCGGTGTGCAATGCCAGCCTGGGAAACCTACAGGCACAAGACCAACCAGTGAGAGCCAGGGCACAGGCTGCACCCAATAAAGCTATGGGGTTGGGGCCACCTGGACCCCTGGGGAACCAACCCTCACCCCATTGTGACTGGAAGGTGAGACATAAAGTCAAAGATTATCCTCAAGCCTCGAGATTTAATGTTGCTTGCCCTGTTGGGTTTTGGACTTACTTGGGACTAAGCTATTCCTTTCTTCTTTCCTATTTCTCCCTTTTAGAATGGGAATATCTACCATATGCCCATTCCACGATTGTATTTTGGAAGCACATAACTTGTTTGATTTCACAGCTGGAGGGAAATTAGGCTCAGGATGAATCATACTTTGTCAGTCTTACCCATATGTTTACGTGAGACTTTGGACTTAGAATTTAAAGTTGATGCTGGAACAAGATAAGATTTTGGTGGCTAGTGGGATGGAACGAATGTATTCATTTAAGAACATGAATTTGAGAAGCCAGGGACAGAACGCTATGGTCTGAATGTGTTCTTTAAAATTCATGTGTTGAAACTTAATGGACAGTGAGATGTTAAGAGGTAGGACCTTTAGAGGATTAAGTCTTGAAGGCAAAGCCCTCATGGATGGGATTGGCATCCTTATGAAAGGCTTGACAGAGTGAGTTTGGTGGTTTTTGCCCTTCCACCTTCTACCAAGTGAGGACATGACAAGCAACCATCTCAAAGCAGAGAGAGCAGCTCTCACCAGACACTGAATTTCCCAGCACATTCATCTTAGACCTTCCAGCCTCCGGAACCATAAGAAATGTTTCTGTTGTTTATAAATGACCCAGTCACAGGTATTTTGTTATAGCAGCACAAATGGACAAAAACCAGTGCTTAATTTAGCCCCGTACAGCCTACCTCTACCCTGCTGCAGCCAGCTTCTGCAGTAACAGGAATGCAGAATGCAAACTTCCACAGGCTCTCCTTGACTACTGTGACTGATCCCTTGTGGATTAAAAACCAGAAGGACTTTACCTATTACTTTGGTGGAATCTTAGTCCACATTGTCTACCCATCTGGACTAAGGCTTACCACATTTCCATCAAATCAATATAAGAGCCTATCGGGCAAAAGGCAATTTTCCCTGGATGGGGAGGTTGAAACAATGAGCACTTGGTGGTCACAGAACACTCTGCAGACTGCAGTCTACATCCCTGGATGTATTGAGCTTCTATTGCTTCTAGATTCACTTCATCATAGCTGTCCTCTGCATCTGGTTGTGGATAGTGCTTTATAGCCTACACTAAGCCTGTGTTCAGGTGACATGAGATCATTTCCCAAAGGGGAAAGAAGTAAGGCACAGGCATAAAAATGCTATTGTTTTGTGAAATGATAGGGCAGTGGGAGAAGGAAATCAAGACCCCAGAGAGTGGGGCCTCTGCTGTTGTGAGGGGGTTGGCTAGCTCTGTCCTCTTCCCAGCCTGCAAGCCAGTGCTTGCTCACCATCCCACATGGGCAAGCTGGCCTGGCTTTCACACCGGCCCGGGCCATGGCAAGAGCACAGCAGGATCAGCTCAGGCAGCGCCTGAACAGGAAGGGCCTGGGGAGCCAGGTCCTGCTTCACACCCGGTGAAAACCAGCCGGGCTCTGTAAAGAGTTTGGAGTTTGTCTTTTCACACCATGGAATTCTCAAATATCGGCCACTGATGCAAAGAATGGTTCTCAATCATTTTATTATAAAACAGAACGATGATAAAATATAAGCTTACACATTAATATTTACATTATGTTCAAAATAT